ATTTCTAAACTGCGACTGTGCCTTCAATTTTAATACTTCAGAGACATACTATGCATCAAAATGTAGGTCTGGGTCTTGTGATTCTCACAATATAAAGCTCTTCACTGTAGGAGTTATAGTTTTTAAGATACGACCGTTTGAAGATGGCAACCGCCAAAATACTCTGACCTGTGTCAAGCTGCAGCAGCAAGTGATGTCATAGACAGGGCCTTTTGAACACCTGCTAATGTTTTTATAAATGTATGGTGTAATGTAACTGTGCAACAACGTTGCAATTGAATGTGCTAGACTACTGGTTGAGGCAAGAACACTTCACACAATTTCCCCAGAAATTGTAGCTTTTCTAGTTATTATTATTCTTATTATAGCAAAATTTGCCACCCTAACTCCTCCCACAGTTTTTACACTACATAGACAAAAATTTACCAAAGCGTGCAGATTGTTCCCGATCGGATTGCTATTACTTTGTGGAACGTTTCGCCGAATGGTTCACGGAATATCGTCGTTCTTGTGGCGAAATTTGTCCCATAGGAATGAATGGCAAAGCTAGAGTGGGAGCTGGCAAAAGCTGAAAAATCAGGATATGATTTCTAAACTGCCACCACTCCCTTATTTTCAGGCCCACCTACACAAATCTTATATCAAAACGTTCAGCTATCCCTCTGCCACTAAACATGTCAACGGCTAAGCCATAGTCCTGATAGTTTTCACAATATAATCATTTGTTTGCAACTAACGCCGTCCATTGACATTCATTGAAACTTCACTCTACCAAGCTCAAATTTGAAGTGCAATTTCTAAACTGCGACTGTGCCTTCATTTTTAATACTTCAGAGACATACTATGCATCAAAATGTAGGTCTGGGTCCTGTGATTCTCACAATATAAAGCTCTTCACTGTAGGAGTTACAGTTTTTAAGATACGACCGTTTGAAGATGGCAACCGCCAAAATACTCTGACCTGTGTCAAGCTGCAGTAGCAAGTGATGTCATAGACAGGGCCTTTTGAACACCTGCTAATGTTTTTATAAATGTATGGTTTAATGTAACTGTTGCAATCAAATGTGCTATGTAAATGATAACAGTTACTCCGCCCACTCCAGTTGTAGACTACAGGTGGAGGCAAGAACACTTCACACAATTTCCCCTGAAATTGTAACTTTTCTAGTTTTTAAAATACGACCGTTTGAAGATGGCAACCGCCAAAATAATCTGACCTGTGCCAGGCTTCAGCAGCAAGTGATGTCATAGACAGGGCCTTTTGAACACCTGCTAATGTTTTTATAAATGTATGGTTTAATGTAACTGTGCAACAACGTTGCAATTAAATGTGCTTTATAAATGATAACAGTTACTCCTCCCACTCCAGTTGTAGACTACTGGTGGAGGCAAGAACACTTCACAGAATTTCCCCAGAAATTGTAGCTTTTCTAGTTATTATTCTTATTATTATAGCAAAATTTGCCACCCTAACTCCTCCCACAGTTTTTACACTACATAGACCAAAATTTACCAAAACGTGCAGATTGTTCCCGATCGGATTGCTATTACTTTGTGGAACATTTCGCAGAATGGTTCACGGAATATCGTCGTTTTTGTGGCGCAATTTGTCCCATAGGAATGAATGGCAAAGCTAGAGTGGGAGCTGGCAAAAGCTGAAAAATCAGGACATGATTTCTAAACTGCCACCACTCCCTTATTTTCGGGCCCACCTACACAAATCTTATATCAAAACGTTCAGCTATCCCTGCTGCCACTAAACATGTCAACGGCTAAGCCGTAGTCCTGATAGTTTTCACAATATGACCATTTGTTTGCAACCAACGCCGTCCATTGACATTCATTGAAACTTCACTCTGCAAAGCTCAAATTTGAAGTGTAATTTCTAAACTGCGACTGTGCCTTCAATTTTAATACTTCAGAGACATACTATGCATCAAAATGTAGGTCTGGGTCTTGTGATTCTTACAATATAAAGCTCTTCGCTGTAGGATTTATAGTTTTTAAAATATGACCGTTTGAAGATGGCAACCACCAAAATACTCTGACCGGTCAAGGCTGCAGCAGCAAGTGATGTCATAGACAGGGCCTTTTGAACACCTGCTAATGTTTTTATAAATGTATGGTTTAATGTGACTGTGCAACAACGTTGCAATTAAATGTGCTATATAAATGATAACACTTATTCTGCCCACTCCAGTTGTAGACTACTGGTGGAGGCAAGAACACTTCACACAATTTCCCCAGAAATTGTAGCTTTTCTAGTTTTAGTTACAAATCTTACAGAGTTTACAAAGATTGTTATTATGTTTGTATACTGTTTCTATGGTAACAATTTACTTCCTGTCAGAGTATCCATTTTCTGCTATTTACTTGCTACCCAGCTACAAATATGTATTCCTGACACTATAGTGCTGGATTATAGATTAAGCTCCCTGGCTCCCTTCTCTGTGTAGATAAAATGTTTTTAACTTACCTTTTCTCCACTGCCACGCCGGTCTCTCTATGGCTCAGCTAATTAATCTTGATGATTTCAGCCAATCCAATGCTTTCCCGTAGGAAAGCATTGGAAGGCTATTGTGCATGATCTGCAAAGCACCACACTGCACCAATCAGCATCTCCTCATAGAGATACATTGAATCAATGCATCTCTATGCTTGAATCAATGCATATCAGAATCTTCATGTTGAGTGTGTGCAGCACTGACCCAGGAATCACCTCTAGTAGCCATTTGAGTTATGGCAACTGGAGGTGTTACTAGGCAGCAATGTAAACACTGCATTTTCTCTGGAAAGTCAGTTTTTACAGTGCTCAGCCTGCAGAGACAGGCAATTGACACAAGAACCACTACATTAAGCTGTAGTGGTTTTGTGACTGTAGTGCCCTTTTAAATGGACAGCTAAATCACTATACATCCTATTGAAACAAAAAGTCTTGTTCCAACACTGCTGCTATGTTCACCAGACAGTCACTACTTACCAGAAGAACACTAATATGGTAGTGGTTGGTATCTGTAATGACAGACGTTATAAGCCACAAAACGTTAGCAGCATGGTTGGAAAACGGATGGTAATTTGTAGCTGCTACAAATTATTGTTGTTGTTACTACTGTTGTTACTAGCAGTGGTTTACTACAGCTATTTGCTGACAAGGTGTAAATGAGCCCCATGTCTGTAGTGGACAGGGCCGGTCTGGCCCACTGGGATACCGGGAAATTTCCCAGTGGGCCGCTGCATCTGGGGCCTGCGCTGTGCATGCATGTGCCACCGGGTGGCCAGTCCGGTGGCACACTCTGAGGGGGCCGGCCGGTGGCTGCGTACTATGCTTGAGCCGGCGTGCCGGGTGGCAGCCTCGCCGGTCCGGCGGCACTCCTGTCACTGATGCTGAGGTCTGAAGGAGGAGGGAGAGAGATACACAGGGAAAGAGACAGAGGGGAAGAGAGAGACAGAGGGAGAAAGGATAGAGACACACAAGGGGAGGGGGAGAAAGAGGCAGATGGGGAAAAGAGAGACGGGGAAGGAGAGGGGAGACATGGATACAGAGGAGCAGTGAGGGGGAGAAAGAAACATACAGAGTGACTGGGGGGAGACAAAAAGGCACACAGAGGGGCTGGAGATAAAGAGACACACATAAGGGCTGTATATATCACTGGTGGATCTGGGTGGGAGGCAATTTCCCCCACGAGGCTCTCCCCTGCCAGCCGATCTCCCTCCCTATTCCACAGGCACTGTGCGGGCAGCCGACAGGGGAGGGAGGAAGAGAGGACCCGGGAGCTCAGCCTGCAGCTCCTGTGGTTCCTTTTCGCATGAGCACAGAGCATTGCCGCGGTTACCACAGCAACGCTCCGGCTCTCACGAGAATTAACTCTAGCCCTGGAGCTCCGGGCTAGAGTTCACTCTCACCACTGCGACCACCAGGGATTCCTGGTGGTGGCAGTGGTGAGAGTGAACTCTAGCCCAGGTCCGGTGCTTGGATTTTTAGGTACATAGGCGAAGATTCATTTTTCCGCCCCCCCCCCCTCAAAAAAAAAAATCTTCACCTATGTGCCTCTTAACCAGCCCCTCTCCCCTCCCTGACCATTAGTAGTGCCTTCCCTTCCCTGTCCCTTAGTGTTCTTCTCCCCCCCCCTTTTCCCTGTCTCTTGGTGTTTCTCTCCCATTCCCTCTCTGTCCCTTGGTGCACCCCACACCCCTTTAGTGGTCACACTCCCCTTCCTGGTGTGCCTCCTACCTCTATTGTTGCATTGCCGAGTGGAGCAGATCCCCTAAAGGAGCTTCAGTTTTCTGTACCCGGCCAGACTGACAGGGAGTGCTCTCTCTGTGAGCACCTCCTGTCAGTCTGGCCAGGTACAGGAAACAGAAGTTCCTGTACCGCGCTCTGCTCTGCTACACTCTGTACACACTGACAGTCACACACTCAATGACAAACACACACTCATTGATCTGACACACACTCATTCATTGACACCGACAGACCCACACTGATTGACACTCATTGACAGACACACTGATAGTCACACACAGACTCAATGACAAACATACTCTCACTGATTTGACAGACACACACTCATACACTGACAAACACACTCATCATACACTGACAGACACACTCATACACTCACATGCACACACACTCATACAATCACCACAGACACACACACTGTCACTCACACACACTGTCGCTCACAGACACACACACTGTCACTCACAGACACACACACACTGTCACTCACAGACACACACACACACTGTCACTCACAGACACACACACACTGTCACTCACAGACACACACACACTCTGTCACTACAGACACACACACACTGTCACTCACAGACACACACACACTGTCACTCACAGACACACACACACACACACACACACACACACACATCACATACATTCACTAATTATTTTTATAACTACATATTTTCCACCCAGCCTCCCTACCTGGAGAGCTGGTGTGGATGATGGATCGGTCCCTGAGAGCTGGGGGGGCTGTGATCAGGCGTGCGAGGGAGCTCTAATCTCCACCCTCTCCGCTCCCTCGCGGGCCGCCTACTGATGCTGCGGGATGACGTCATATTCCGGCTCCCGCGGCATCAGCAGACAGTGCGCGAGGGAGCGGAGAGGGTGGAGATTAGAGCTCCCTCGCGCGCCTGATCACAGCACTGCCGCACGCCGCGCCGGGGGTCGAGATGGTGGCCGGGCAGGAGGGAGAGCTTCCCTCCTGCCGGTCACTGAAATATTGCGCCCCCAGAGCCGGTGCGACCTAAGGCGGCCGCCTGTGCCGCCTTATGGACGCGCCGGCCCTGCTCTAGCCCCATACACACACTGCCCCTACACACACACCATACACATACACACACTACCCACATATACACATTGCCCGATACACACACACACTCCCCTCCCACACACACCATACACATTTACACACTGCCCCATGAACACATTGCCCTACACACATACACAGCCCCTTTTACACACATTGCTACGCACACACATACACAGTCCCCCCATACACACATTGCCCGACACACCCTACACATTCACACACTACACCCCCCCCACACATACACTGAACCTTTCACACACACTGCACCCCTCACACATTGCACCAGTGCTCCTATACCCTACTACAGCCCCATATCCAGGCAGACCCCAGGTAAGTTGTCAAACTGTTCTTAAACGGTTTGACTACTTACTATGGGAGAGGGTCCCGGCACTCCTGGCACCACAACCACTACACAGAGCAGTAGTGGTTATTGTGCATGGATTATTTCTTTAAATAATCTACAAGTGCCCCTCCCAGGATCAGGCTCTGGATCCACCACTGGTATATGACATGTATATTAATATGTGTATTAGATATATATATATATATATATATATATATATATATATATATATATTGTGATAAAGTGAAGGCAGAGAGGCCTTTAACATTTAACCCCAGGGGAAGTACGTGTTGTATGTGTGGTGTGCAACACAAAGCTACGTTTAGTTATGGGCCCCTGGGGTGGAGCATTTGAAGAGCAGGGTGGGCCAATGCTCCACTCCTCAGTTTATACACATCTGGGAGAAATAAGGTCCAGGCCAGAGTTTTTTGGAACGGTCTCCAACCCACTGCTCAGCTGCAGATAATCAGCTGTAGCAGTGGGAATAAACCCCTCCCTGCTAGGCAGGTAAAGGTGGGGATTGCTGCAAAAGGAAAGCAGTCAAGGCTGGCTTGGAGCACTGGGAGTGTAGAAAGGAAAGCAAAAGGCTGACTAAGCACTGGAGTGCAGAGAGCTGACAAAGACACTAGGTTGGTGAAACCAATATTGTTTTGTTGTAGTTTAGCCCCTGAGAGATAGGGAACCTGATGTTAGTAAGTGCTCAGATGAGCTAGGTTTTTGTTTATAAGGATTTGTTATATTTATGTTTTCATTTGCTGCTGTCTCCTGTGTGGACTTACAAATAAAGTGCCTGGATTATATGAAAATAAAAGGACTGTCCCTGTTGTTTACCCTAGAGGACCATGCTACCTGCAGACAAGGATATATATATATATATATATATATATATATATATATATATATATATATAAATAAAACAAAAATAGTAATGCACTCCACCTTCCTTGATGTACTTGCCCGGTGCTTATCAGCAAACAGATACAGCCAAAAGTACAAGATAGCACTTGAATGAATAAAACTTAGCTTTTATTAGCTCAAAATAAATAAATTTTTATTTTGAGCTAATAAAAGCTAAGTTTTATTCATTCAACTTGGAAGTCCCTGGAGTGCTATCTTGTACTTTTGGCTGTGTGTGTATATATATATATGTGTGTGTATATATATATATATAGATATATGTGTGTGTGTGTGTGTATATATATATATGTGTGTGTATATATATGTGTGTATATATATATATATATATATATATATATATATGTGTGTGTGTATATATATATATGTATATATATATATATATATATATATATATATATATCTATATCTCACAAATAATGGCACTCGCCCTTACTAGTATAGTGAATAGTAGAGGTGCCCTGGTGCAATCTTGTGCTAATAAATAATTATGTTGAGGAAAGATGCACTCTTCTGTCTTAAGAATATTAGCAGTCTTTAATCCATAAAAAGTTTACAGGTTGCTTGATCAACGTTTCGACCCATTCGGGTCTTCCTCAGGATCAACATGTAGCCATAAAATCAAAATATATATAGAGAAAGATAGTGTACTCACCAGTTGTGATGAATTCCCTCATCCATTCAATCTGAACCAGGAAGTGAAAACCGGAAGTCACGTGACATACAGAATCAGTGAGTGAGGTTGCTAGGAAACCAATAAAAATATTATAAAATTGGCCTCATACCGGTCTGTGATTTGTGAAATATATGTGGGTAATTATTGGATTACATAAGTGAAAGCAATGTATAAATTCTATATAAATTCACTGAATATATGTCAGTGAGTAATATTGTAAAAATATCGTGGAATAGACAAAGTGTCATGCGTGAAAAAACAATCGTGCAGCAAAGTATCTAACAGCCAAAGTGAAACAAATTTGTGTAGTTAGACATGTATACAGATAACAAAAAAAAATTAAAACATATATGCCTGCCATGGACAGAAATTGGAATATATATATTTTTTATATTATATAAACTATTACTTAAAGGCATAGGAAGGAGCAAATTGAAGGGTCAAAGTATATATCACAGAATAACTCTCCAAAGGGCAGAGAGGCTTAAAGGTATTGACATTTGGACATCATTAACTAAACAGTTAGGAACAAAATTATTTTACATTATATAGAACGATTTAGATTGTAAAGAAATATATATATATACATATTAATGTGCATTTATATATGCATAATACACAGAGAAATGTCATTAATATGTACCATATGTAATGAGCAGATATTGGCCCAGTCTTGTTGCTAGGTGCATACTCCAGCACAGTAACATATTTAAAGTGAAGAGCGTGCCCACAGGACTTCAAAATAAACAAGATAACATGATTTTTTACAGTTGTGCCCTATATACATTCACCATTTCAGTCCCATTACCAAGCTTTCCTTAATATGTCAAGGTAGTTGGACTGAAACATTGATTACATGCAAAGGTACTTAGTTAAAGGTCCCCACCTCATTTTTAGGGTGAGGGGGGTAGGTAGGGGGATAATTTGGTTCCCCTCCCCCTTATTAGTATTTAGGGTCCCCACCTGCCGCTCAGGGGTGGGAGCCAGGGGGAAGGACATTAGGTCCCCCCCCTTATTCTAATTTAGGGCCCCCACCCACCGCTCAGGGGTGGGGGCCAGGGAGGAGGACATTAGGTCCACCCCTAACTAGTATTTTAGGGCCCCCACCCACCACTCAGGGGTGGGGGCCAGGAGAAGGTCATTAGGCCCCCCCTTATTAGTATTTAGGTCCCCCACCCACTGCTCACAGGCAGCTCACTGTTTACTAGACAAGCCCCTACTCGCGGTATAGCGAGTAGAGGCAAAATTTACTAATACTAAGTAATTTTTACTTAGTATTAGTAAATTTGTCTTAAAGACCAATTTAGGTCTTTCAGCCTTTTGGTAGATAACTCCCTAATACCGTTGGAATTAGTGAGTCATCTACTAAGCGGCTGCAATAGAAGTGCCGAAGTCTCGAATTTCGAAAATCCCAAATTTCGGAATGCCGAACCGAACCAAAAATTTTCCCCATACACATGTCTATTGCTTATTTTGAAGCCTATGAGTGCTTTTTTTTTTTTTTTTTACGTTGGAGTAATTTTTAATTGTAAGTTCTCTTTTTTAAGTCTGTATCTGCACACTATGCTGGCGCGACGCATTTTGGGGCTGGTAAATATTTTTTTTCCAGGGCTGCTTTTAATTCCCAGTCCAGCCCTGGTAGTGGAGTAATCAACTATTAACTCTATCCTGCTACCTTGTTGATTAGTTACTTATGATTCTAACACCAGATAACAAGAGTAGGAAACATGGAGAAGAATAGAAGTGCAGATGCCTTTAGTAAAAGTGACACATACTTTTTGTCCCTTTATAATATGTTACACTTGATTTACTGGTTACATATCTGCTTAAGTAAAGCATATTTACTCAATAATGTGCTTGAGAATGTATTTCATATGGCAATAAGAAGCAATTCAGTTCTATATCACCCTTATTTAATTATAGTGGTGACATGTAATAGAGTTACCGGGTTGTGTTGTGTTGGGGAACCATCTTCTTGCGATATTTGAAACTGACATCACTAGAATCCTGTTTTTGCAAGGTAGGGGTTATCTAACATGTCTGTCATTAACCCCTTAAGGACACATGACATGTGACATGTCATGATTCCCTATTATTCCAGAAGTTTGGTCCTTAAGGGGTTGAAGGGACACTGTAGGCACTGTGTCTGCTTCACTTTATTAAACTGGTTATAGTGTCTGGAGTTCCATTGCACCACCATTTCATGCAGCATTAACCATTTTGTATGGTTTAATGCTAAATGAGAGTCCCCAGCAGTCCATCCACCCTCTGCTGCTTTGGCTAATGAGGAAGTATTATCCTGTGCAGCAATGGGTAGTTTTGATTGATTGAGAGCGGACTACTTTTAGACTATCCGAGCTCCAAATGACAATATAAATGGGTATGACAACGTGTGTGTGTGTGTGTGTGTGTGTGTGTGTGTGTGTGTGTGTGTGTGTGTGTGTGTGTGTGATCTCTGCCTTAGCCATACACCCATAAGGGAACAGACTGTGGGTTCCTTATTAAGTGATCATGGACCCTTATTTAGTGTTGAACTGCTCTGAAGTGGCTAAACATTTAATGGAAGGACAGTGCCAGGGGACTCCAGGCACTATAACCAATTCAAATAGATGAAATGGTTATAGTGGCTACAGTGTCCCTTTACGGGTTGGTGAGCTAGAAACCCATGAGCTATAGGGTTCTTTAAAGTTTGTCTGTTTTGAATTGATGAGAGAATTTTTTGTTGACTGGCATCTAACTGCAATCAACCATTGAAAAAATATTTTACTTTTAATAAGGAGCTTGAATTGAATACATCTCGTCTGTTTAAGGTAACATGGGTGTGCGCCTCAGTGCACTGACAGTAAAAGGATATTTTTGTAAATATAAGAATGCGGAGGACAGATTATGCACGT